TCCAGCCGGGATCCGCCAGAGCCGTCCAGCCGGGATCCGCCAGAGCCGTCCAGCCAGGATCCGCCAGCCAGCCAGGATCCGCCAGAGCCAGCCAGCCAGGATCCGCCATTTAGTCAGGTGCTGCCCCTTAGCTCGGTGTTGCTCCTTATCCTGGTGCTGTCCCTTATCCTGGTGCTGCCCCTTAGTCCGGTACTGCCCCTTAGTCCGGTACTGCCCCTTAGTCCGGTACTGTCCCGTAGTCCGGTGCTGCCCCTTAGTCCGGTGCTGCCCCTTATCCCGGTGCTGCCCCTTAGTCCGGTGTTGCCCCTTAGTCCAGGTGGGGTTAGTTGGAGGGTGGTCATTGGGAGGAGGCTACCGAAGCAGGTTGTGACTGTGGTGGGGTGGGGATCACGACCGGGGCCAGAGCCGCCACCGTGGACAGACACCCACCCAGACCCTCCCCTAGTCCTGATGTTGGTGCGCCCGGAGTTCGCACCTTTAGGGGGGGGTACTGTGACACTCTGGCTCTAGGACTTTTGTATGTGAGCTAGAGTGTATGTTGTTTTGGTTGGGGATTTGGGTGTTTTTCTATGTTGGTAGTTCTGTCGGGTGTATTTCTATGTTTGCAGGTCTGTGGGTTGTTTTTCTAGGTGGTTGTATGTTGTAGTCAATGACTCCCAATCGGAGGTAACGAGTGTCAGCTGTCGGCTCGTTATCTCTGATTGGGAGCCATATTTAAACTGTCAGTTTTCACCTTTGTTTTGTGGGTTATTGTTCCTGTTCCAGTGTTTCTATGTTTCTGTCGGTGTCAGAGGACTTCACGTATCGTCATTTGTTTTGTTTTCTCGTGTTGTGCTTTATTTAATAAAGTCATCATGTTCACTCCACGCGCTGCGTATTGGTCCGCTCCTTTAGACGATCGTGACAGATCATTTCTTTGTCAGTGGGCAAACGTACAAAATCAGCAGGGGATCAAATACTTTTTTCCCTCACTGTATATGAGATGTGTAGATAGAGATAGGATAATCAGTCTCACACCGCTACAATTCTAATATCAAATGAGAGCAGTGCTCAAAACCAAACCACACGGTTGGTTATAGACAATCTAGTTATATCTGTTACTCTATCTGTGGAACTGTGATGATTGAGTAATCTGCCTTCACACTTGGGCAAACCTGTCAACCACCCGACAGTGCACTGTAGTAACCCATTAGATGGGGAGAGCCAACCCATAATCATCATTGTAGTCACAGCTGAATGACAGTGAATAGAAGTGTCTGCTTGCAGGCTGACAGACCAGTTTTATGTTTACAACCTACCACAGAGCTGCCAGTTTGTCTACTAGAGAGAGCACCGTATGTGTCACAAGCAGCCAATGTTGATTCAAAATGTGTAGTTTTGTAGGTCTTATGTACACTCTTAGAAAAAAGGGTTCCAAAAGGGTTCTTCGGCTATCCCCACAGGAGAACCCTTTTTGGTTCCAGGTAGAACCCTTTTTGGTTTCCATGTAGAACCCTCTGTGGAAATGGTTCTACATGGAACCCAAAAGGGTTTGACCTGGAACCAAAAGGGTTCTACCTTGAACCAAAAGGGTTCTACCTTGAACCAAAATGGGACAGCCCAAGAACCCTTTAAGGCTCTAGATAGCACCTTTTCTTCTAAGAGACACACAGACACACAAGTACACACAGTCAAAACACAACACACACTTTCAGGACATGCACACACGCTCTTCAAGGACGACACACACACACACACACTCACTCACTCCGCGCGCCACGCTTCAGCGAGCACAGAGGGGAGTGAGATGAACAGAGGGCTCAGTTGTTCAGCAGCAACCTGATCAGTCCTCCATGTAGTTTATGTCTCTTGATTATATCTATCACTATCAAAAACAGGGGCACTAAAACATTTTAGACAGTAATATATAATAGTCTTACAGTATTACATAATGGTCAAATTAATATCAAAATTACATTAATTGACAGCAACGGCACATGAAATAGAAGATCTGACTGAAGAATATCTATTTTGCCACACTTGAAACAATTATGATAGACCCGTTTTACCTGAATCTTTTGTGCTGTGGTCCAAGCTTTGATATGCAAAGTCTTGTTTTGGCCTTAATTATTTACATGTCAAGTATGTAACCTTTTGGAGAAAGATGAAGTTGCTTGTGAACACAGATTTGAGGTCAGTTATACTTTTCACCCCTTTTTGGTCATGGTTTGGATTTTAAGTTCTATCCACAACAAAGCTTTCTCGCCATGTACCATTCCTATTGTTACTACTTTATGTGTATGCTGACCTCTAGGGTCACAATTTTATACCAACACCATTTCCAATCCTTCAATTACGGTCCTATAGGGCTACAGTACTGCTGGTTTTCAGGGAATGATTTAGACCTGCAACACCAGGGGACGAACTCTCTGGTTAATCAATGACTTTAATTTATAAATTAAGAATAAAGAACACAAAGAGGTGAGGTGCTGGCTAACTGTCACATACTCCCATAACTGGAACATAACTCCCATAACTGGAACATAACTCCCATAACTGGAACATAACTCCCATAACTGGAACATAACTCCCATAACTGGAACATAACTCCCATAACTGGAACATAACTCCCATAACTGGAACATAACTCCCATAACTGGAACATAACTCCCATAACTGGAACATAACTCCCATAACCGGAACATAACTCCCATAACTGGAACATAACTCCCATAACTGGAACATAACTCCCATAACTGGAACATAACTCCCATAACTGTCACATACTCCCATAACTGGAACATAACTCCCATAACCGGAACATAACTCCCATAACTGGAACATAACTCCCATAACTGGAACATACAGTGGGGGAAAAAAGTATTTAGTCAGCCACCAATTGTGCAAGTTCTCCCACTTAAAAAGATGAGAGAGGCCTGTAATTTTCATCATAGGTACACATCAACTATGACAGACAAAATGAGATTTTTTTCTCTCCAGAAAATCACATTGTAGGATTTTTAATGAATTTATTTGCAAATTATGGTGGAAAATAAGTATTTGGTCAATAACAAAAGTTTCTCAATACTTTGTTATATACCCTTTGTTGGCAATGACACAGGTCAAACGTTTTCTGTAAGTCTTCACAAGGTTTTCACACACTGTTGCTGGTATTTTGGCCCATTCCTCCATGCAGATCTCCTCTAGAGCAGTGATGTTTTGGGGCTGTTGCTGGGCAACACAGACTTTCAACTCCCTCCAAAGATTTTCTATGGGGTTGAGATCTGGAGACTGGCTAGGCCACTCCAGGACCTTGAAATGCTTCTTACGAAGCCACTCCTTCGTTGCCCGGGCGGTGTGTTTGGGATCATTGTCATGCTGAAAGACCCAGCCACGTTTCATCTTCAATGCCCTTGCTGATGGAAGGAGGTTTTCACTCAAAATCTCACGATACATGGCCCCATTCATTCTTTCCTTTACACGGATCAGTCGTCCTGGTCCCTTTGCAGAAAAACAGCCCCAAAGCATGATGTTTCCACCCCCATGCTTCACAGTAGGTATGGTGTTCTTTGGATGCAACTCAGCATTCTTTGTCCTCCAAACACGACGAGTTGAGTTTTTACCAAAAAGTTCTATTTTGGTTTCATCTGACCATATGACATTCTCCCAATCCTCTTCTGGATCATCCAAATGCACTCTAGCAAACTTCAGACGGGCCTGTACACGTCTGGCACTGCAGGATTTGAGTCCCTGGCGGCGTAGTGTGTTACTGATGGTAGGCTTTGTTACTTTGGTCCCAGCTCTCTGCAGGTCATTCACTAGGTCCCCCCGTGTGGTTATGGGATTTTTGCTCACCGTTCTTGTGATCATTTTGACCCCACAGGGTGAGATCTTGCGTAGAGCCCCAGATTGAGGGAGATTATCAGTGGTCTTGTATGTCTTCCATTTCCTAATAATTGCTCCCACAGTTGATTTCTTCAAACCAAGCTGCTTACAGATTACAGATTCAGTCTTCCCAGCCTGGTGCAGGTCTACAATTTTGTTTCTGGTGTCCTTTGACAGCTCTTTGGTCTTGGCCATAGTGGAGTTTGGAGTGTGACTTTTTGAGGTTGTGGACAGGCGTCTTTTATACTGATAACAAGTTCAAACAGGTGCCATTAATACAGGTAACGAGTGGAGGACAGAGGAGCCTCTTAAAGAAGAAGTTACAGGTCTGTGAGAGCCAGAAATCTTGCTTGTTTGTAGGTGACCAAATACTTATTTTCCACCATAATTTGCAAATAAATTCATTAAAAATCCTACAATGTGATTTTCTGGATTTTTTTTCTCAATTTGTCTGTCATAGTTGACGTGTACCTATGATGACAATTACAGGCCTCTCTCATCTTTTTAAGTGGGAGAACTTGCACAATTGGTGGCTGACTAAATACTTTTTTCCCCCACTGTATAAGGTCCCACAGTTGAACTCCCATAACTGGACAAAGAATGGACAAGGGTTAGACAAGTTGACTTGGAGAACATGAAAGACACAGATCGTTACCTCTTTTAGATGGCACCAGCAGTTAAAGAGAGGAAATATGAAGTTAAATATAAAGGCCAGTGTAAAGTCTTGTTATTAAAGGCTGGCTGATATGGCACATCACATTTCCTCTAAGATGTTTTTGGACCTTTGGGCGTTCATGTGGTAGAGGTAAAACCACAAGTCTAGGTTCCCTAAAGCAAGTCAGCATTACAGGTATCCAGGTACACCATGTCTGTAACAGACGGTGAAGGGGCGTAAAGAAGGTATGTACAGTATGCGTCTGACTGGTTCTTCCACATTGAGAAGTGACATACCTTCACTATCTCTTTCACACCCACATCCACACACATTCATACACCCACACACAGGCTAACCTGTCCCTACCTTGTCCCTTCTATATAAGGGGATTGATTTGTTAACGGTAACACAGCTCAGCAACTCCAGCCTCAGTCTGCAATCATCCCAGCTTTAATACCTACCACACAAAGGCACCATAAGTATGAGGAGCAGGAATCGCACTGGGACAAGCCCTAATTATGTGAGGGACTTCAGCAGCATGTCCTTGGGCTCCAGAAATGGCCCCAGGACCAGCAGCAGTGGCTTCTACATGGGAGGCTCCATCACGGCAGTGACCATCAACAAGAGCCTGCTGGCACCCATCAACCTGGATATCGACCCCAAAATCCAGGCTGTCCGCACCCATGAGACAAACCAGATCAAGGGTCTCAACAACCGCTTTGCCACTTTTATCGATAAGGTACAGTATAAATAGTGTGTTTTTTGCCGCTTGCTGTTTGTCTTTTGTTTGTGTGAATTTCCAGCTCAAGTGAAAAATACTGGAAAAAATATTAAAAGTCAGAGTTATTGTGGTAAATCCAGAAAATGTATGTAAAGTGTTAAAAATGAGGAGTGAGGTGGATTGCATCACATCTTCTTAATAACGTAAGAGCCCAGGAATATGGTTGTGATGATGGTAATGACACTCCAATCTACATAATAATAAAATAACCATTCTTGTAAAGTCAATAACAGGTTGAAGATATTGTTTCCTCCTTTTGAAGTGTCTAATCCTAGAAGCACACCTCTCACTCTGGGCACTGTTTCCCCGTGTGTGTGTGTGTGTGTGTGTGTGTGTGTGTGTGTGTGTGTACCTGCCTGCCTGCATTCGTCAGTGCATGTGTGCCAAACATGACGTGTGAACTGAGGAGTCCAAACATCTATAATAACAATATATTTTGTTGTGGACCCAAATCAATTATTCATACGTATGTGTGTGTGTGTGTGTGTGTGTCACAGGTGCGACACCTGGAGCAGCAGAACAAGATGCTGGAGACCAAGTGGAAGCTGATGCAGGACCAGACAACTGGTCCCTCTGACATTGAGCCCATGTTCCAGGCCTACATCAACAACCTGCAGAGACAGCTGGACGAGATCAACAATGACAAGGACAGGTTGGACATGGAGAACAGGAACATGCACCATAATGTGGAGGACTTTAAATCAAAGTAAGAACACAGTGACGTTAGTCTGGTTGGAGATCTGTTTGTGCTTTAGCCAATTCCTCTGTCATGTTCGTTGTCATGCAAGACATGTCTGTCATGCATGCTGGGCTGTGACAAAAGCCTTCATAATGCGGCTCTTCAGGGCCAGAGTTGGTCACCCCTGTTATAGACCCTAACCCTATTCTCTTGCTTTGGCTTGTTCCAGGTATGAAGATGAGATCAGCAAGAGGAACACAGCAGAGAAGGACTTTGTCCTGCTGAAAAAGGTACACTACTGACTGATAACATTCCCTCCCCTGACACCTGTACTGTATTGTTCTACCTGTGTAGATGTATTGTATAGATAGAGTATAGCCAGAGTCCCTCTCTGATCTAATCTAACTAATCTGCCCTGGGCCAAAGATTAATAATAGGTAGGGAAAATAGGCAAATCACCAAAGGTGTATTACAAGTGTGCCTTTTATGTTCAGTAAAGCTTGAGTATTTTCCATGTGTGAAAGATGTGGCTACAACTAGCTATGTAAACAAGAGTCGGTAAAGCAAACATCCCCATATGAACAGGAGAAAAGGGATATGACTTGTGTTATGTGAGGCTGCATCAGGTAGGCATGTCTCTCGGTGTCACAGCTGTTGACTGTCTTCTGATGTCCTGTAGGATATGGACGCTGGTTACCTGTCCACGGTGGATCTGGAGCACATGGTGGCTGGGCTGGGAGATGAGGTCAACTTCCTGAAGGCCTTGTACGATCAGGTAAAGCAGTGTTCAATCATACATATATATTTTTAATGCCCCTTTAGTCAAAGATGCCAATACTATAGAGACACAGTATACAGCACTATAGAGATTACAGAACTTACATTGTTTCTCTCATGACAGGAGCTGGGTGAGCTGCAGTCTGACGTGAAGGACACCTCTGTTGTGGTTCAGATGGACAACTCCCGGGGCCTGGACATGAACCAGATCATGGCTGACGTCAAGGCCCAGTATGAAGACATCGCTGCTCGCAGTCGGGAGCAGGCCGAGAGCTGGTACAAGACCAAGGTGAGGAGGTCAGTGTTCAGAGGTCAGGGGTTAGAGAAAGAGGAAATCTTAAGGGTTCAGCCCTAAGGGAGCAGTACAGCAGGTCAAACAGTCATTCGTAAAATAAACCTGTCAATAATCCTTTGAAACCAGTGAACCTATAATGCCTCCCCTTTCCCTGTCGTTTCTGCCCACATCAGGTTGACAGTTTGGCCGGTCAGGCTGGCCAGGCTGCAGAGGAGCTGTGCAACACCAAGGCTGAGATCGCCGAGCTGAACCGATTGATCAGCCGCCTGCAGAACGAGATCCTGGCTGTCAAGGGACAGGTGAGCGCCACACCTGACTGGATGGAGCAATAAAGAATCTTATAATTGAAGACTGTTTTAATCATAGACTATAGTGTCAGACTGGATAGAACACCACCTTATAATTGAGGAGTACTGTATGTCAAGGCTTCGTGCCAGACTGGTTTTTGCTTTGGCCAACTTATCATTATCTTGTGTTTGGCACAGCACCAATGTGGCATTGTTGATCGCAGAAACAATGTTACACCCTCAGGCTAAAGTACCAGTATGTCTTTGTCTGGGAGGCCAAAGCAACATTTTAGAATGGAGCAATTAAGTCATACGCCGGATGGCATCACGTCTCAGCTCACTGGATAAAATTACACCGGCACAAACGGACGACAGATGATGATAGTGTTTATGCATTCCTTAACTACATAGGCCTACGTTATGCATACAATAATGTATTCTGGCCTATAATGAAAGCCTAATGACTGTAAAAATGACCCATGATAACAGCGTGGAGCAAACCACGTTTATTTGTTCTGTTCCAAAGGTCTTCTGATACATTTTCCCCCTTAACCCTATAGAAGGCCAACCTGGAGAGCCAGATAGCCGAGGCAGAGGACCATGGGGAGATGGCCGTAAAGGACGCCAGGGCTCTAATCAGGGACCTGGAGGTAGCTATGCAGAGAGCCAAGCAGGACATGGCCTGCCAGATCAGGGAGTACCAGGACCTGATGAACGTCAAGCTGGCCTTGGACATCGAGATTTCCACCTACAGGAAACTGCTGGAGGGAGAGGAGACCAAGTAAGGAGATGATGAAACTCTGAGGGACTCAAAAGGTCCACTATGACCAGCTCCTCTGCATAGACAGCTTCCAAAATCCATGATGCAGAGATGATGAAGTCTGTGTAGAGCTGTATGATGTTTTTATTCTCTCTTCCTTTTCCGCCCACAGCTTTGGACAACAATCTATCACCAACATTTCTACCACAAAGCCTTGTTGTAAGTTATCTTTCTCCCTAAACTACTACAAGTAACAAAAATACAGAGCCCTGAGCCCGTGACAGCACTATAATCTCTAAAGTTAGCATTTTTATTCTCCTCTCACATTCCTTTGCCTTCGAACCTTGTTTTACGACGGCTCATACTATTGATATGATTTAGGGATCGCAAACAGGTGTGGTGATTGGCAGGAAGAGGGATAAGGGAATCTTGATGGTGGCATGAGCCTTTGTAATAACAACCAGCATCCTCCTCTTTTCCACCCCAGACACCATGCCGGAGACCAGCTACCAGCAGCCCACCCGGTCTTCTGCTGTCTTTATCAAGAGGGTGGAAACCACCGACTCCTCCAGATCATACCACTGAAAAACATGGTTCTGAGACACAACATGACCCAGAGCTACATCTGTAACACTTTACTTGAAGTAGCTTGTTAAGTAATTTTATGAAGGGGCTACAGTTTTCATAACAATCTATGGCAGTCATAACATATTCATAGCAGCCTATAGATGCAGTCATAGAGCATTATGAGACTGTAGTGCCCCTTGGCTGTGATATATACCATACTATGAATCTTTATAAGACAATACGACTTCATAAGAATTTGCATCAAGTAAAGTGTTACTGTTATTTATAAACTGGGTGGTTCGAGCCCTGAATGCTGATTGGCTGACAGCTGTGGTATATCAGACCATATACCACGGGTTTGACAAAACATTTATTTTTACTGCTCTAATTACGTTGGTAACCAGTTTATAATAGTAATAAGACACCTTGGGGGTTTGTGGTATATGACCAATATACCAAGGCTAATGGCTGTTCTTAAGCACGACGCAACGTGGAGTGCCTGGATACAGCCCTTAGCCGAGGTATATTGGCCATATACCACACCCCCTCATGCATTATCGCTTAATTATACCATGGCATTGTTGAATACTTGTTTTTGATTGGCTTGAAGGGCATTCTAGAACATGCATTATTTTCCTATAACACGCGGTGTATTTGCACGGTAGAATTCAATGGCTATAGTTCAAATTATAGCCATGGTATGAAAGGGATAATCAACTCGGGGCTCTATGCGTTCTCTGGAAAATAATGCAACTCTGTGTCAGGTCAATTCCACTCTGCTAGCGAGTAGTGAAACACACCTTCACGTCGTTCATTATTTTCCATAGAGCGTATAGAGCCCCTCGTTGATTATCCCTTACATATACTTAATCAGACTACATCAGAGAAATGATCTGTCAACCAGGCCTCACAGGACCACTTGTTATTTATTTGTTATAAGCTGCATTGAGCTTGTTTCCTAGTATAAGATTAGCCTAAAATCTGTTTTTTACTTCTATTAAAACGGTTTTATGATGCAATGTCATGTACCAACATGTTCTGACACAAATAAGGACTCATACCGGAGATCACATGCAATCGTTTAACTCATCTTTCACTTCTGACAGATTAATGACTAGACAATATACACATCCACATTCTCTACATTCTCTTCATTCCAACCTCCACAAAGCACACCGATGTTGTGTGATGGTTATCATGACAATACCTTCCTATTTTCACACTCAGCAGACCTGAAACCAGAGAGAGAGACAGAGACAGAGAGAGAGAGAGGAGAGAGAGACACAGAGAGAGAGAGAGAGAGAGGAGAGACACACAGAGAGAGAGACACAGAGAGACAGAGAGAGCATTGTTACAACACTGTATATATACATAATATGACATTTGAAATGTCTTTATTCTTTTGAAACTTCTGAGTGTAATGTTTACTGTTAATATTTATTGTTTATTTCACTTTTGTTTACTATCTACTTCCCTTGCTTTGGCAATGTTAACACACGTTTCCCATGCCAATAAAGCCCTTAAATTGAATTGAAATTGAATTGAAATTGAATTGAGAGAGAGGAGAGAGACACAGAGAGAGACACACAGAGAGAGAGAGAGAGAGAGAGAGAGAGAGAGAGAGGGAGCTAGAGAGAACAAAACAGGTTTTTGTTTTCATAGTAGCTTTCTAGTGTATAACTTGGAACAATGGCATGTTACGATCACAATAAGTGAAAGACAACAACTGGGTTTGTAGGTATAACCAAAGGAAATTGTGGTAATGGTGCAGGCTAGAGTGGGCTTATTCACTGGGTGAAAATTACAGCACATTCAGATATAAATGTCTTGTAAATAACATACATATGTTGTGTAGAAAAGAGAACAATAGACAGTCATGCCAGCTTCAGGCTGACCAGAACAGATCAACTCAGGGCCTTAGTTATAGGTTACAACTAGAGTCTGGAGTTTTTCCGCATCAGGTCACGTCTTCTTCAGGAAAAACTCAGGATTCTAGAGTCTAGACACAAGAAGACTGAACCCTACCCAACGAAGCTATTTGATATGAAGAGCAAAAAGCCTTTACTGGGCTAGATGATGATAATGATTGACAGTGCTTGACAGATTAACCCTGCCCACTCTAGCCCCCTCCCTCCTTCCACCTCTTCACGAATGGAATGTTATTTTCAGGAAGTGCAGAAATATTTTATCTATGATACATCGTCGTCAACACCCTACTATTAATCTGAATCATTCACTTATCTGTCTCTTTGGGGTATGCAATGGCTCAACCTAAATGTTACTTTGTGTGTAAATGGCTGTGATTGTTTTGGGGTGTTTAACACATTCACTATACCTACAAAAGTATGTGGACACCCCTTCAAATTAGTGGTTTTGGCTATTTCAGCCACACCTGTTGCTGACAGGTGTATAAAATCGAGCACACAGCCATGCAATCTCCATAGACAAACATTGGCAGTAGAATGGCCTTACTGAAGAGCTCAGTGACTTTCAACGTGGCACCGTCATAGGATGCCACCTTTCCAACAAGTCAGTTCGTCAAATTTCTGCCCTGCTAGAGCTGCCCCGGTCAACTGTAAGTACTGTTATTGTGAAGTGGAAATGTCTAGGAGCAACAACAGCTCAGCCGCGAAGTGGTAGGCCACACAAGCTCACAGAATGGAACCACCGAATGCTGAAGCGTGTAGCGCATAAAAATAATCTGTCCTCGGTTGCAACACTCATTACCGAGTTCCAAACTGCCTCTGGAAGCAACGTCAGCACAAGAACTGTTCGTCGGAAGCTTCATGAAATGGGTTTCCATGGCCGAGCTGCCACATACAAGCATAAGATCACTATGCGCAATGCCAAGCGTGGAGTGGTGTAAAGCTTGCCGCCATTGGACTCTGGAGCAGTGGAAATGCGTTCTCTGGAGTGATGAATCACACTTCACGATGCAATCGCCATCGCACTGCACACTGCCCTATCCCATCTGGACAAGAGAAATACCTATGTAGGAATGCTGTTCATTGACTATAGCTCAGCATTCAACACCATATTACCCTCCAAGCTCATCATTAAGCTTGGGGCCCTGGGTCTGAACCCCGCCCTGTGCCACTGGGTCCTGGACTTCCTGACGGGCTGCCCCCAGGTGGTGAAGGTAGGAAACAACACCTCCACTTCGCTGATCCTCAACACAGGGGCCCCACAAGGGTGCATGCTCAGCCCCCTCCTGAACTCCCTATTCACCCATGACTGCGTGGCCACGCACGCCTCCAACTCAATCATCAAGTTTGCAGACGACACACAACAGTAGTAGGCCTGATTACCAACAATGACGAGTCAGCCTACAGGGAGGAGGTGAGGGCCCTGGGAGTGTGGTGCCAGGAAAACAACCTCTCACTCAACGTCAACAAAACAAAGGAGCTGATGGTGGACTTCAGGAAACAGCCCCTATCCACATCGACGGGACCCCAGTGTTAAAGGTGGAAAGCTTCAAGTTCCTCAGCGTACACATCACTGACAAACTGAAATGTTCCACCCACACAGACAGTGTGGTGAAGAAGGCGCAACAACGCCTCTTCAACCTCAGGAGGCTGAAGAAATTTGGCTTGGCACCTAAAACCCTCACAAACTTTTACAGATGCACAATTGAGAGCATACTGTCGGGCTGTATCACTGCCTGGTATGGCAACTGCACCGCCCGCAACTGCAGGGCTCTCCAGAGGGTTGTGCGGTCTGCCCAACGCATCACCGGGGGCAAACTACCTGCCCTCCAGTACACCTACAGCACACGATGTCACAGGAAGGCCAAAAAGATCATCAAGGACAACAACCACCCGAGCCACTGCCTGTTCACCCCGCTATCATCCAGAAGGCGAGGTCAGTACAGGTGCATCAAAGCTGGGACCGAGAGACTGAAAAACATATTCTATCTCAAGGCCATCTGACTGTTAAATAGCCATCATTAGCACCTTAGAGGCTGCTGCCCTATATACATAGACTTGAAATCACTGGCCACTTCAATAATGGAACACTAGTCACTTTAATTATGTTTACATATTTTGCATTACTCATCTCATATGTATATACTGTATTCTATACTATTCTACTGTATTTTAGTCTATGCCGCTCCAACATTGCTCGTCCATATATATTTACAGTTAAAGTCAGAAGTTTACATACACCCTAGCCAAATACATTTAAACTCAGTTTTTCACAATTCCTGACATTTAATCCTAGTAAAGATTCCCTGTCTTAGGTCAGTTAGGATCCCCACTTTATTTTAAGAATGTGAAATGTCAGAATAATAGTAGAGAGAATTATTTATTTCAGTTATTATTTCTTTCATCACATTCCCGGTGGGTCAGAAGTTTACATACACTCAATCAGTATTTGGTAGCATTGCCTTTCAATTGTTTAACTTGGGTCAAACGTTTCGGGTAGCCTTCCACAAGCTTCCCACAATAAGTTGGGTGAATTTTGGCCCATTCCTCCTGACAGAGCTGGTGTAACTGAGTCAGGTTTGTAGGGCTCCTTGCTCGCACACGCTTTTTCAGTTCTGCCCACAAATGTTCTATAGGATTGAGGTCAGGGCTTTGTGATGGCCACTCCAATACCTTGACTTTGTTGTCCTTAAGCCATTTTGCCACAACTTTGGAAGTATGCTTGGGGTCATTGTCCATTTGGAAGACCCATTTGCGACCAAGCTTTAACTTCCTGACTGATGTCTTGAGATGTTGCTTCAATATATCCACATAATATTCCTTCCTCATGATGCCATCTATTTTGTGAAGTGCACCAGTCCCTCCTGCAGCAAAGCTTGCAAGCCATCCCCTTTTTTCTCCAAACATAACGATGGTCATTATGGCCAAACAGTTCTATTTTTGTTTCATTAGACCAGAGGACATTTCTCCAAAAAGTACGATCTTTGTCCCCATGTGCAGTTGCAAACTGTAGTCTGGCTTTTTTATGGCGGTTTTGGAGCAGTGGCTTCTTCCTTGCTGAGTGGCCTTTCAGGTTATGTCGATATAGGACTC